AGAATGAAGAAGAGTGAGTGAGTGATTTTAGTTTTACACCGCACTCACGAATATTACAGCTATATGGCGGCGGTCTGTAAATAATCCAATCTGGACCAGACAATCCAGTGATCAACACCATGAGAATCGATCTACGCAATTGGGATACGATGACATGTGTCAAACCAAGTCAGCGAGCCTGACCACCCGATCCCGTTAGTCGCCTCTTACGACAAGCATGGGTTACTGAAGACCAATTCTAACCCGGATCTGCACGGGAGGATCAGTCAGTTTACACGGGGCGGGAACATTAACCATCTTGTTGAAGGCGGGCCAATAAGTACATTTGTGATGGAGGTTAGAGACAAACTGTCGCCTGGAAACCAGAGTGTTCTAAGTCCACTTTTGACAAAAGTAGAGTCAGTATGCTCGGGGTAGGTTTTAGAGCATAATCTATTACTCTAGCAACGTTTTACAGTGCTATCTAGCTTTGAAAGTGGTTTTCAAACACAAACTTTGTTCTATCTCCATGTTGTTAGTTTTCGAGTGTTCTAAGTTGTCAATTGACCAATGAGCAAGCACAATTTAATCACGCGACATTGAGATTTACCAATTTTGAAGTGATTTTCATCATGGAAATGGAACATTTTAACTCTGCTTTATTTCTGCTTTATTTAATTAAATATAGTCCTTATGAAACTGAAAAAAGTCTAAACGAAAAAATACAACCTGGTAAAAAAGAAATAACTATCAAATATCCATATAATAATGATAAGACTGAGTTTTATCTGTGTTTCTTACACTTAGAACTCTCTCCAATCATATTTCGTGAATTTCTTATTTATTTCAATAGATTGAGCATATAATTTGCCATTTTCTGATATTGTTTGACATGCCACATGCATGTGAAAAATTCCCAAGAATTCGATTGATTGGTTTAGAAGATACTGTTGTCCTAAACTTCAAGATCGAATTTCTCGAAAATAGTTTTTTGTGACTTGGTACAGGCGACGAAGCAGACAAACAGAACTTGAACAGTGATACACTGATATGCAGTAGGGTGGGTCACACATGTTGTAGCACAGTTTCATGGAGAGTCTCTAGAAAACCTCAAATAGATTATTAAAAGAGCTGATGGAGAGCCCAACTATGACGTTAGTAACTGACGCTCTCTAGATAACGTCACATAGATTGTTGAGCTGATGGAGAGCCCAACTATGACGTCAGTAACTGACGCTCTCTAGATCACGTCACGTAGATTATTGAGCTGATAGAGAGCCCAACTATGACGTCAGTAACTGAAGCTCTCTAGATAACCTCACATAGAATATTGAGGTGATGGAGAGCCCTGCTATGACGTCAGTAACTGAAGCTCTATAGATAACGTCACATAGATTATTGAGCTGATGGAGAGCCCCACTATGACGTCAGTAACTGAAGCTCTCTAGATATCGTCACATAGACTGACTGACTGAGTTTAGTTTTACGCCGCTTTTAGCAATATTCCAGCAATATCACGGCGGGGGACACCAGAAATGGGCTTAACACAGTGTGCCCATGTGGGGAATCGAACCCGGGTCTTCGGCGTGACGAGCCAACGCTTTAACCACTAGGCTACCCCACCGCCCTCGTCACATAGAATATTGAGGTGATGAAGAGCCCTGCTATGACGTCAGTAACTGACGCTCTCTAGATAACCTCACATAGATTATTGAGCTGATGGAGAGCCCCATTATGACGTCAGTAACTGAAGCTCTCTAGATAACGTCACATAGAATATTGAGGTGATGAAGAGCCCTGCTATGACGTCAGTAACTGACGCTCTATAGATAACGTCACATAGATTATTGAGCTGATGGAGAGCCCCACTATGACGTCAGTAACTGACGCTCTCTAGATAACGTCACATAGATTGTTGAGGTGACGGAGAGCCCAACTATGACGTCAGTAACTGACGCTCTCTAGATCACGTCACATAGATTATTGAGCTGATGGAGAGCCCCACTATGACGTCAGTAACTGACGCTCTCTAGATCACGTCACATAGATTGTTGAGGTGACGGAGAACCCCACTATGACGTCAGTAACTGACGCTCTCTAGATCACGTCACATAGATTATTGAGCTGATGGAGAGCCCAACTATGACGTCAGTAACTGACGCTCTCTAGATAACGTCACATAGATTATTGAGCTGATGGAGAGCCCCACTATGACTATGACGTCAGTAACTGACGCTCTCTAGATAACGTCACATAGATTATTGAGCTGATGGAGAGCCCCACTATGACCTCAGTAACTGACGCTCTCTGGAGCACGTCACATAGATTTTTGAGCCGATGGAGAGCCCCACTATGACGTCAGTAACTGACGCTCTCTAGATCACGTCACATAAAATATTGAGCTGATGGAGAGCCCCACTATGACGTCAGTAACTGACACTCTCCAGATAATTTCACATAGATTATTGAGCTGATGGAGTGCTCAGTGTCGGTAATGGCACATATATAAATCTCATTAAGGACAATAATAACCCTCAGGTCATTGGCAGATGGAGATTATTAACTTTGGTGAATTCTTCAGGCGGAAATATGAGTTTCATTCATTTGGAACTAAATGCGATCAAATTTATCGAAGGCAATTTCCATCATGTGGCTACATGAAGCAGAGAGAAACGTGTACTTATGTCAGTGATCGATGGGAACTTGATTAATTAGCAAAACCGTGCATAATATTGTTTCATAAATCTCTTGATGAACCATAAAAAAACACATGAACCATCGGGGGCGATATTAATGCGTAAAACGCTACAACTGGTTTTGACAGTGACCAAGACCTGTTTTTGCACCTTACTGCCACCACTTGTTATGTTTGTACTGGTGTTATCACCTTAAGGAAGAGTGGTTTGGGCTTAACCACCCTCTGAACAGTAATGAACTAGTCGAGCATTGAAATGAGAATGAAAGCCATGCTGACCATCTTAAGACGTAAGATGAGTAACATATGCTTAGGGGATGGGAAGCCTTTCTAGCAAAAGATACTAGAATGTCATTTTTCTAAGTGATACAAAGATATCCACCCACTACTACGTCCTGGGAAGGACAAAGGTATCCTTCAACTGGTGGTGAAACGCTGCCACTCTGCTAGGCGGTATAGTCGTGCCATTCTAAAAGTGGTGAAACGATGTCACTCTGCTAGGCGGTATAGTCATGCCATTCTAATAGTGGTGAAACGATGTCACTCTGCTAGGCGGTATAGTCGTGCCATTCTAATAGTGGTGAAACGATGTCACTCTGCTAGGCGGTATAGTCGTGCCATTCTAATAGTGGTGAAACGATGTCACTCTGCTAGGCGGTATAGTCGTGCCATTCTAATAGTGGTGAAACGATGTCACTCTGCTAGGCGGTATAGTCGTGCCATTCTAATAGTGGTGAAACGATGTCACTCTGCTAGGCGGTATAGTCATGCCATTCTAATAGTGGTGAAACGATGTCACTCTGCTAGGCGGTAAAGTCGTGCCATTCTAATAGTGGTGAAACGATGTCACTCTGCTAGGCGGTATAGTCGTGCCATTCTAATAGTGGTGAAACGATGTCACTCTGCTAGGCGGTATAGTCTTGCCATTCTAATAGTGGTGAAACGATGTCACTCTGCTAGGCGGTATAGTCGTGCCATTCTAATAGTGGTGAAACGATGTCACTCTGCAAGGCGGTATAGTCTTGCCATTCTAATTGTGGTGAAACGATGTCACTCTGCTAGGCGGTATAGTCGTGCCATTCTAATAGTGGTGAAACGATGTCACTCTGCTAGGCGGTATAGTCGTGCCATTCTAATAGTGGTGAAACGATGTCACTCTGCTAGGCGGTATAGTCGTGCCATTCTAATAGTGGTGAAACGATGTCACTCTGCTAGGCGGTATAGTCATGCCATTCTAATAGTGGTGAAACGATGTCACTCTGCTAGGCGGTATAGTCGTGCCATTCTAATTGTTACGAAACGATGTCACTCTGCTAGGCGGTATAGTCGTGTCATTCTAATAGTGGTGAAACGATGTCACTCTGCTTAGCGATACAATGGTTTCTTTCTAGTAGGAGACACAAGGCTTAATGGGAATTGCAAGGATGTCCTGCTAGGAAATACACGTTCTACTGGAAGGTAATAAGACGCCCTTCCACTAGACGGGACAAGGGTGTTCTATTGGGAACTGCAAGGCTGTCCTGCTAGGAAGTACAAGTTCCACTATAGTCCGTTTGGCTCATGAATTGCAATCTAACTCGAAAACTAATAAACATAACATACTCAATGAAACGCTGATCATAATCAAAACATCATACCCACTCTGTGAGGTTTTTGCAGAATGTTGTCCTAAAATAATAAAGTTGTTTAACAAACTATCATTAAAATATTGACACAGTTCACTGTTTGTTACGAGGGAGGAGTGCAGAGAAAGGGACAGCCAGGTGTTCGAGAAGCACGTTCCCAGACAAAGTTATTTATTCATTAACCTGTGATGTGCCGTCTCCATCCGTTCTAGACAGGACAAGGGTGTTCTACTGGGAATTGCAAGGCTGTCCTGCTAGGAAGTACACCTTCTACTAGAAGGTACTAAGACGCCATTCCACTATTATTATTATTATTATTATTATAGGATATTTATATAGCGCACATATCCAGACAACTAGTGCATGCTCAAGGCGCTAGTATCTCCACTAGACGGGACAAGGGTGTTCTACTGGGAAGCTCAAAGATGTCCGTCTTTTTGGAAGTGCAAGGTATTCCCTCTACTAGGAGGTGCAAAGTGTTCTCGGTGTTCTTTAACTAGAAGGTTTCTGAATCTATTCAACCTGCTGTCGTCTATTTGTTGGTTTCATTGGCAATATACCTTTAAAAGTACTGGTATAAACTACTACAGGTCAGACTTGCATGACGTAGTGTAATGCATGTGCAACGATCATATCTACACTACGATGAATCAGTATTACTTATATTACTAAAATAACAAAGAAAAAGATTGATAACAAACCTTTGGAGCGTGCATTTTTTGATATTTTACAAAGAATCAAGGAATATGACGTCGTGATGACGAGGAGCGGGAGGACGTAGACGGTGACCACGCTGAACAGGTTGTAGGCCAGCTCGTGCACTGGCGAGGGAAAGAAGTTAAAGGTGACACACTGGGTGAACCATGGATAGGTCGGGTGTGGCTCCACGTGAAATATGACGCTCTGCAATATAGCAATAAAACACAAAATCAATTCGTAATAACGAAACAAACATTACTGACTAGCAGATTGATTTTAATCTAATGGTTCGATCCAATGTTGAGGTTATTCATCGTTCAAATTCAATGAAAGGCTGTTATTATCACCATTGTATAGAAATTGAAAAACAAATGCTCATCTATAGTACACTCGTGAGAGATCTATAGTACACTCGTGAGAGATCCTGTGATCGTGGAAAGGGTTCAGTCCCTCACATTGAAATAAACAAACGGTATGTAATAGATTACTTCCAGGTTTATGGCAAATACGTAATCCGTTTTATCTATAATTGAGTCGAAGATATTTTTCTCCCACATGACATGTCAGGACGACCTATCAATATCACATACTATTACCGATACTTGTAGGCTTCCAAATTATTACTGCAGCAATCATAAAATATTTAACAGATACGACGGCAAATACAGATAATAACTAACGCCTACTGCATCACCATAGAACCGTTGGTCAAGGAACCACACACAGATGGGTAGGTTTTCATACCAGACATCATATCCACAATTAAACAAGAAGAGTCTTGAGGAGACAAGATATCACCTTGTTCTGGTTCAATATATAAATAAAGTATGGCTTCTTATACCCCATTTTTGTTTCATTATTATTTGATATCTGCAGTTCAGTGAGGAGAAAAATAATGCCTTAAGTACTTTTCCAAATCCCCAAAAATGAACGGCACCAGTTCACCACCAGGCCCATCTCTACACAGGTGATGCAACTAGAGATGCAACGGTTTTGGACTTTTTCTGAAAAGGGCACTGCCCTCATTTTCAGTGAAGTCCAATTTGTCTTCATGGAAACAATATAAAACAAAAGCAACTGAATTAAAATAAAAAAATAAATAAAAAAGATAAAAAGCATCAAAAGACACGTTTATACCATGAAGGTTCTACAGCACTAAATAAAAATCAGTTGCTCCCTACTCGTAAGTAAACTTCAGTTCGGATGAAGGCATGTGACAGATGTGATTGGATGATATTGTATAAAATATTTATGTGTTTTAAATGTACTCCCACCCAGTAATTAAAACTGACCTCATTTTTTAATATCTAGTGCTGCCTTTTTTAAACACGATGACTTATGTTTAATGTGTGCACATATATTTTCGAGTAGGTGACATTTGGTGCGGAACTAGGGTTGGCATCTTCAGCTTCCTGTACTTGGAAAAGGAATTGATTAACCTGGTCAACAAATTGTCTTTTAATTGCAGCTCTAAGGCCATATGTACATGTAATGACTTGAAGCGTCCTGGTTATTTTTAAGAACATATAACGTTACTATTGAGGTCTATGGGAAAACATTTGATTTTGTGTAACCTGAAACCGATCTGTACATCAAGTTAAACAAGATATATTCAACGGTGTTTGAGTTTTTGAAAAAAATACTAATCTCATTTTCATAGAATACTTGTCGTCATGAAAGCAAATACAAACACGAAATGAAAAATCAGACTAATGTGTGTATCGTGAGTTTCAACAGGAAATAGTTGACAGTTTAGGAGTTCTGCATCGACGGACGGACATGCTGAACACTAATTCCCCCGTTTTTCAAACCGGGGAATAAAATATTGGACAGCTGCATGCATTCAATATATGTGGAAATTGATCTTTTTTTGGAAATTTGGGAAAATACGTGCTCTTGTTGACAGTAATTAAACTTTGGTCTAATGTAAACCTATCAATGAAGAAAAAAATATTGAAATTATTTCTGAAAGTGTTGCATGTATCGACTCCTCTTTCATCTGGTACCAACTGGATATACATTTCATTCTTCTAAACTCAAGATGAAGCGTTCCGTTTCAAAATCAGTTTAGTTCTATCAAATTAGCCGCTGGCAACTCTCCACACCATTTTTAATTTCTTATAAGTTTGTGGTGAAGAAAATTCTGTTGATTTAGAATCTGACAGCATGAAAACTTGGCACAAAACTCTTTATTCTCTGCTTAAAGAATATGATGACAATGACATTTTTAATGCAGATGAGACTGGGATCTTCTATAAAATGTTGCCTGACAAAACTTTGGACTTTAAAGGCACTCATTGTCACGGTGGAAAACGTAGCAAAGAAAGGTTGACATGCATGGTCGCAGCCAATATGACAGGCACAGAAAAACTTCCACTTCTTGTAATAGGCAAAGCAATGAATCCTCACTGTTTCAAGAATGTTATGTCTCTTCCCACAGAGTACACTGCAAATAAAAATGCGTGGATGACATCAAACGTTCCAAGATTGGCTACTTAAGTTGGACGAAAAAATGCACAGGAAGCGGCGACGAATTGTGCTTATTGTTGACAACTGTCCAGCCCATCCTGATGTAGACAATCTGAAGGCCATCAGACTTGTGTTTTTGCCTCCAAACACAACATCCAAGACTCAGCCGATGGACCAAGGCGTCATCAACAACTTAAAGGTCCACTACAGAAAGCAGCTGATGACCAAGTTCATCAAGGCCATTGACAAGAAGGAGTCTGTAAGCATAACAGTCCTTGATGCCATGCAGCATTTACGACAGGCTTGGGACTGCGTCCAACCCCAGACAATCAACAAGTGCTACTTGCATGCAGGCTTCAAGATCTCAGACCAGACCAACACCCAAGACGATGATGACAGCGACCCTGAGGATGATGTGCCCCTTGCCACCCTAGTTGTTAACAACATCACTCTTGCGCAGTATGCCAGTGTAGATGATGACTTAGTAACCAGCTGCCCTGCCAGTGAGCAAGACATCGTCCAGAACATTATTGATTCCAGGACCAGGACCCAGCTTCTCAGTGACGACGAAGATGAAGACGATGTGCCCCCTCCTCTACCACCTACTCTTGATGCCACAACAGCAGCCCTAGAAATCGTCAGGCGTTATGTGATATCACAAGACGATGGAGACAGTGTAATGACAGGATACAACATGGTGGCCAACTATGTAACAGAAAAGGAAATGAAGAAATGTTTCACAAAGAGACAATCCCTCATGACATCTTTTGTGGAGTAAAATGTTAGACTGTTAGGCTAAAATATTTTGTTTCATTATGTTTGATTTTTATTACTTTGTATTATAAATGTATTACTTAACGCAATGAAATGTTAGGGAATAAAACATGTCATATTACTTACAAATGTTGTCTGTTGTTCTGCTGTCATTTCCTGGTTTTGATAAGTTTAGATAAGTAAAATACCTGATAAGTAAACAATTTTGGCGAGTCCCTTGAAATTTTACTTATCAGGTTTATACTGTATATTGATCCATTATAAGGAAAAAAACCATTCCATTTATGAAAAACATGTGTGATATGTGTTCTCGCTGACTATGCTTATTAAAACTGACACACATTTAAATGTCTAATTGCATATGTTAAACAGCTGCCTTTTATGTTTCTAGCAGATATACAGTAAGTCCGATTCCACCTCGCTGTCTATAGAAATTGTGCGATCGGAGCACATTGAAAAAGGAAAAAAAGGAAGAAAAGAAATCAAGCTTATCAATCAAATCAAGACAAAAAAGAAAAGAAAATAGTAACTATCCTGCTCAAAGCATTGATAAAACAGCTGAGAGCTTTACAGAGCGGATCAATAAACGATCCGAGCGAAGTTCTTAGATTCATAATCGATAATAATCTTAAATGGGCATGACACAGATAACATATATTTGTAATTTTGATTATGTTGTAATTTCTTGGAACAAATTCCAAATGTGCTCTTGTGGATTTCAACGATTTTTGATTCTCGGAACTTTGAGAACAAATTTAACGTGTTTCTAAAACTGCACCTTTTAAGCGTTTTCCTTATTTTGTCTTGCCCAGGTAAATGCTATGAAGTAAGTTACACTTACCTATAATAGTTTTAAACGATAAAAATAATCTGCAGATTGAAAATTTGTCGAGTGAAAATCACTTTAGGCGAGCCACAAATATTCTTTTATTACAAACTATCCTCTTATAAAAGGACGAACCACTAAGATATCAATGAGACGTGTATATTACGGACGACTTAGCCTGTTTAGGAAACGTCTCCTTGACACCTCAAATTAGAATTTTAGCTATGATCTTGAATTGATCCCTATTGTTGTAGGTCTAGAAGGCAATATTTCATTGACTATATCTCCTCTTGATCCAGCTTTAACTGACTCGCTTGCATGGAATCCGCCAGTATAATAGCATTATGCTGACAGAGATTTACCCATTAAAAAGCTCGAAGTGTGGCAAAGAACTTTAGAGCTTCTGCAGTCAGATTGTCATTCGCTGGGAATACATCAGATACTTAAGCTTAGAGTCCTCCATGATCCTGCAAAACCTTTTACAAACCTTACGAAACTTACGTATGTCTGATCATCACTCCAGCAAGAGGTCGTGTGCGATAGCCTTCACTGTAAAGGACTAAATCATTTAGTGAGAAGATAGTCCTTGTTTAAGAAGCTCCGCGGACAGGATTCATCCCATTTAGGTCACAATGTAATTGCTTCATTACTGAAATGTTTCTCATCCCACGTTTCCGTAACATGACATCAAGACTCAACCTCACTCTGCCTGATACAACCACGCTCTTCCTGACTCACCCACTCACTTCTTGACACACCGATAATCGGGGTGACTCACCCATACTCTTCCTGATTCAACCACACTCGCTTTCAATCGAACTGACTCACCCATACTCGGACTGATTGACCAACGCTCTTCCTGACTCACTCACACTCTTCCTGGTTCACCCACACTCTTCCTGACTCACTCACACTCTTCCTGGCTCACCCACACTCTTCTTGACTCACCCACGCTCTTCCTTACTCACCCACACTATTTCTGTCTCACCCACACTTTTCCTGACTCACCCACGCTTTTCCTGGCTCACCAAACACTCGCCCCACTAGAGATAGTACGAAGATTTCAACTATAATTTAGCGTTTCAGTCATGTCATACCACTGATGGTGGAAGAAGCCTGAATTTACACATGTGTT